AGTTCTTAGCCTTTATGTGGGAAAAAACAGGTTCTATAGCATAAAGTCTCGCCCTTTGGGAAAACTGTAGGTTCCTCTTTTGTGCACACATGATTCCTCTTTCAATAAATTTGTCAAACTATTAAAGAAGAAAAAAAATATGATTCATTAAAAAATGTATAAACAATTGAGACTCTTTGTCAGTTATAGGAAATCTATTTTGAAGATCGTTTTAAAAAAGCGTTGGGAATTACCCGTTTCACAACCACATGCACCAAAATAATGCACAAATATATGAAACACGTTAGGTTTAGATTTTCCCTTAAACAGTCTAAAAAAAAAAAAGAGACGCCCTTTTAAAAAGTTTTGTTCTCAGCCTTTTTTCGCCTTGAACTCTTCACTCGCACTTCCCATTGAGCAGTCTGAGAGCTATAGTGCCTACCACATATTAGAATACATACACTTCTCAGGGCCATCAGTTTTAAATCCATTAATTAATTCTTTTCAGAGCTACATAGGTACGCCTCAGGGCCGGTCTTAGGCTTTGGCAAACTAGGCAGCTGTCTATGGCCTCCAATTATCCAAGACTGGTCCTGCTACGCCCTCTACACTTCAGCAAAAAATTTTGCACCATTTTGTCGCCGCTATTTTGTTGCCACTATTTTTCCGATAGAGCTGTAAACCTACGCACAAAAGGAAGATAAAACTTACAGAAGTACTTATTCTGATATTTCATATGATGGTCATTGCTACACAGCCCTAGTCTATTATACTCTCGAATTTAGTTTTGTCTGATCCATTTTTGGAAAGAAGAAGAGATGGCGCTTTATAAAAACGTGGCGCAGAGATATTGATGTAGATGGCAATGAAGACAAACTAAGCCATTCTTGAGGACGGTTGGAGAGATTCGCCCAGAACGAGAAACGCTTGGAAAAACTTGTTAGTGGCCTATATCTCAGAATTGAAAAAAAAAAGTTAAGTTGCGATCTATAGGGCAGATGATGCAAAGGTAATCAGTTTCTGTGGTCCACGGTTAACGAGGGTGTCATGTGGCCAGCACAACGACCAACCTCCTTTACTTTTCCTTTTAATTTCTGGATCTTTAGGGCGCCCCCGAGTCCCCCAAGCGCTAAAAGGGAACCTCTCACTTACACTACATCAGAAAGTTGATTTTATTCAAAGACCTGGGTGGACTCAAGTCGCCCAAAAGAAAGATCCAGAAATTCAAAATCCAAGTCTTCACTGAGATTCGAACCCAGGAATCCAAGCGCTCTACCATATATATATATTGGGGGTGCACCGGATAGTACTTTTTGATATTCGGCCGGACCCAGAGCCGAATATTGCCGAATTGTAAAATATGATATTCGGCCGAAGCCTGAGCCGGATACCTACATGTCTTGAAAATAGCTTGTATTACTGAACATTTTGCAAAACTGTTAAATAGCATACCTATATTCGTATTAATTTTGTTCCTTTTATATACCTTATTGTTTTGAACTCTGTTACTGATTGATGAATTAAAAGCTTAACAGTATTTATAAACAGATAGGCCTAATTAACTAATCCGTGTAGCATGAGTGTGTGTTTATGTGCGAGGCCACCAACTGTAAAGGGTGTGTGGGAAGAGCCAATGTAAAATACGTAACTTAATATTGAACTAGTTACTAATGTAAATCTCTCAAAAGTAAAGTGCAATTTGGCTTGTATAGGGGGTGGATCTATGTATTCATGGATTTCAAACCAGCAACTGATCCTCAGGCTTGTAATTTAATGTCCAAAGATAGCTGCTGGCTCTGGCTACACGAGCTTAATACTGATAGTAGCTTTTAGTCAATAGTATATATATATACTATATATATTACCCACCATCTTGTCGAAGACAAGTTATCTGATATGCTGTGGTTTAAGAACTACATGTAAACACATGCACATTGTTGAAAGATAGTCATAAACACTCACAATAACTAGTTAAAACGTGGATGACAAACCAGTTCATGGTGTTGCATGCGTTTACCCACGATAACCCCAGCGGCCTGGCTCAATCTTTTTAAACAGAGTCGTGACAATGGAGGGGCAAAGGGGTGCATTTTTGTCTCGGTCACCACTCGAAAAAAATGTCTCCAAGACAAACACGCGTTTGCCTTTTTTTTTGTCAACAAACTTCTAGAGTATATATTTTAAATTAACAAACTTAGTTTTAAAATGTATTTCTCGATTCGAATTTTGTAATTCTAAATTGTTTATTGGTTCACCATAACAATTAACTCGTACTTTTATGAAGTATTCTTCGTGCATTCAGTTAATCGCAATATTTTAATATGTATCGAAAATTTGATCGGTTTTTCAGTAAAAACAATGGTACTTATTATTACTTAAATTGAATACTAGATTATAAATCAGTGAAGGGTATCAGTGAAATGGTTATACTGTTAAAAAAAAGAATGAAGAGATGGACAATATAAAAATGTTATTTCCAGGTCTAGACCTACATATTTTCATTTAGATTATAGTGCTTACAGCTAGAAAAAAAAGTCTGATTTGTTTTCAATGTGAAGATGAAAAGTTCAGACATGCGTTTCTTTAAGTATGGGGTCGATTGATGCGGAATATAGATCATTATCGCAGTGTTATGTCGTTTTTTGTTTGTGTTCTTATAAAGAGTAAAGTATGTGTTGTTCTTGGTTTGTAGTTATACCCATATTTCAGTATTAATATTAAGTAAAACACAATATTATCAATGTTTAAAAATTAAACTATTTAAATTATTTAAATTCAGTGAAGTTGTTTTATTTCCTAAGTAAGATCTTTTAATACTGCTTTCATGAGACGCGTTATCTCTGAATGAAGAAATATCACAATACGTCTTTCCTATTGTAAGAATGTTCTTATCTTATATATCATAGATGTTACAGTTAAGCAATTCATATGTCAATCTAGTCAAACATGTTAATCAATGACTTAAACTAGCTAAGTCGTTGGTTATCCTGGCTCATTCAGACAACCCATTCCATTCTCTAATGGCATTAGGGAGGAAAGAGCACTTGTATGAATTTGTTCTAGCAGAAGGAATCTGAAATGTATTGCTATCTTTATATCGTTCATTCGACAACTTTTATCTACTGTGCTTGCTACGTGTTTCTTGGGTCGATTAAGCCCATTACGAAAATACCTCACCTGTGTCTCACACTTCAGTGTCGGGCCGTCCTAACCTTCTCAATTTAACCTTATTTGACCTACGCTCTCTATGCTTGGAGAGACAGTACGCTAGACCAAGTGACAACAAAATTTTGGAAGCTTACGATACAGGAAAATACAGTTTACAGCGCACTCTAGATCCATTAACTAGAGGGTATCGGGGACCAAATATTATGTTTGGTGTTTAGGAGGCCACACAAATCATAGTTTAAGATTCACTGTTTAGCCAAGCTACATTTCTTGTAGATGAGAGAGAAGAGAAGTCGTAAATTAGAGTCTGATGTGTATTTCTTTTCCTGTCGCGTTTTAGTGAATTCATAACTCTTGATGCTAGAGGACGAATAAATTCTCTTTGACATTGTGGTGATAGGTATGGTGATTTGTGTTGCCATGACGTTTTAAAAAAAGTGTTGTGTATGTTTTGATTTACAAATTAAAATAAAAAAAACATCTTTAGAAATCAAATTTGTTATTCAAGTTTGGGAGGGAGAACATTTTTCCCTTTGTTATCATTTGAAGTGCTACTCCAAGTACATTCTAATATAAAAATACACTTAACATTTGCCCCTCCTGTTTAGGTCAAAGAGTTCTAAATACAGATTGCATTCAGACTTGTAATCAAAAGTACAGCTTTCAAGAAAATCTAGTTCAACGTTTCTCAATCCGTGAGGCTTGTACCTTATGACTCCACTCCTTCTACCCAAAGCTAATTAGAGCCATGACAGGTTTGAGAACTTAACCATGTGCGTATGTTAGTAATTAATACTTTAAATAAGGATGTCGTTTCTGCCCTGTTAATGACGTGCCTACTTAAGTATGGACTTAGTGACGTGTACACACGTAATGAGATCCTAAAAAGAATATGTTATAAAAAGAATTCCCGATGCTATTGTAGTAAACAAGGTCCAGGAATAGAGACACTGCATTACTGATTTTCCCGATTATGAGGTTGCTCTAAATCGGCTTTTAGAATGGCACGATATGAAAAGGCTGTTTTTTTGTTATGCCATTACTTTGTCCTTGACATGCACCGAACAAGCGTCCATTTCTTTAGATTTTTTGAGCTATTCAAGGTCTGGAATCGTTGACAAAGGGGGAGTAACAAAGTTAAACATTGAAATGAAAGAAAATGGTTCTTCATTGGCTTCCTTTGTAAAGATTTATTTCTATTTTATAATTAATGCTTTTTTATGTTTCAGGATTACTCCTTTTAAAATATACATACGAATACAGATAGTCAGAAAGATAGGCTTATAGATAGATAGGCTTATAGATAGATAGGCTTATAGATAGATAGATATAGAGGCAGAAAGACTAAAGAATAGAGAGACTTAAAGAGAGGCAGAAAAAGAGGAAAGAATGAGAGAGTAAAAAGAGAGAGAATAAGGTCTGAAAGAGAAACTTTACTTATATATATATATTACATATATTAATATAATATAATTAATAGTTTTAAAAAAAACTAATTACCGGCTATTGTAATCAATTAAACAAAAATGAATTTTAAAAACCATTTGCCCAAAATTTATAAGTACAAAAAAGATAAAGAAATGTATATACTGGATGTTTGAGAGTTACCAACACAGTGTTCTGATGTGTTTGTGTTTTGGCAGGCAATTTATATCAATATTTATATCTTTGTCTCCCTATCTCTCAACGTATCTCTCTATCGAATCTATTTATCTCTCTATATATATCTGTCTATCTATCTATCTTTCTATCTATCTATATGTAGAATTGGCAAACAACATAAATGATGATTGTGTGTGATAAATAGATAGATAGATAGATAGATAGATAGATAGATAGATAGATAGATAGATAGATAGATAGATAGATAGATAGATAGATAGATAGATAGATAGAGTGAGAGATAGAGAGAAAGAGAGAAAAAGAGAAATAGAGCGATAAGTAAAGATTTAATTAGATCATTTTCTTATGTTGATTCCAGAGGAGTTTCCCTGACTCTTCATATCTACAGTAAAAAAATGACAAAGTTGACTTGAACACTTGTTTTAAGATTAATAATGCTTTCACTAGAGTGCTGTGACATGACCAACATTAGTGATGTAACACAAGCTGCATAGCATACAACATTATGTAAAATACATATTGTTATATAGGGTTTACAAAAAGATTCCATTAATTAATGGCATTTATATGATTAGGTTTTTTATTTAAATGTTATTTGCATTGACCGTTTCTATTTTCATATTATTGTGGTGTAATGAAAACACAATTTTTCTGATAAAATGGAAGACGGAGATCGTCTTCAAAAGGTCATCTGTTGTTATAGTATAGCGTCAACGTAAGTACTGGGAGACCAACACAATGGCCAGCCTTAGTTTCGTGTTTCCAACGTGCTTCCAGTATCCACTACAGCTAGAGAGAAGTGCACTGAATAATAGAAGAGTTACAAGGACATAGGCAACACGTCTCTCTTTATCTCTTTCTTTCTTTCTCTCTTCTTTCTTCTATTCTCTTTCATTCTCTTTCCTTCTCTCTCTTTCTTCTACTCTCTCTCTCTCTCTTTGTCTGAATATATATGGAATACTTATGCACATCCATTCTATACTAGTATAATATTTTTTAATATTTGTGCTGAAGCAGACATTGGCAACATATGAAATACCGGTATCCATACATTTTAATCTTTATCAGATCATATTTCACAAACAGTACACTATAATATTTTGTTTAGAAATATCCTCTAACAATATCTTCGAGGTGCCGACCCTTTTTCGGTATACAAAATACTAAAACGTGGGGTGCTACCCCTTCCCCCCTCACGAAGTTGTACTTTTTAAAAAACTGTTATGTCAAATTTTACCCTATCAGACCTTGCGATCTATAGGGCAGATGATGTAAACGTCATCTGTTTCTGTGGCCTACGGTTAACGAGGGTGTCACGTGGCCAGCACAACGACCAACCGTCTTTACTTTTTCGCCAACTAATGTCAGGTACCCAATAGACCTGGGTGGACTTAGTGGAACCCTAAAGATCAATTAATTTAAAATCCCAGGATTCGAACCTTGGGACCCGCGGTTCAGGAGCCAAGCATCTACCGCTCGGCCACCGCAACATAAAAATGTAAATGGTTTTTCTAAAATTACCATTACCCCGTTAGCCGGGTTGTTTTTTTCTCGGAAAAATCATTCACGGATGTTAAAACTTAACCACTCTGATGGTTTTGATGTAAGGTGGAGACATTGAACTGGGGACGAAATTCAAATATATTGTTTTATTCCCAGAATCTTACCTGCGTTTGATAATTTTTCATCCAATTTACACATCACATACTCGGTTTAACCTCTAAGGATACTTATCCATGGTGGCCAATAGTTACTGAAAAGTTAGCCAGGCCAAAGTGTACTGTGGCATGTAATGTTCGGTAACACTAGTAACACTACCAAAAACAAGCGTGTTTTCGAAAATTTAGTTAAAAAACTTTAACCAACCGAGTCGACCATCACTTAATGCGAAACGTATCTATTTCCTTGTTTGCCCGTTGCCCACTGCCTACGACGAGGACGTGGAGTTTGGATTTTAGGCAGTGATGTCTCACGTCTGGTGTGAGAAGACAATGAATTGGGACAATGCAAAACAATAATAATAATAATAATTGGAGATTAAGCTTTAATGGAAATTATCTAAAATAACAATATACCCACCCCATTGTCATATCAACCGAGGGAATAATAACAACTGACCTCACAGACACCTTCAAAGCCCTTGGCATTCCTAGGAACATTCTCGTTGCCTGTCAGAGGGCGGTACTACTGCAGACCTGCCACATCACCAGAAAATTCCTCGGTGGAAACTGATAAAGGGACTACGATGAATTTTGTATCCCTTTAACGAAACTGGACCCTGGCTTCGCCAGAGAATGAATACTCGCTCTTTTATAATAATAATAATAATAATAAATACATCTCAATGAAGTTTGGTCTTAGACTTTCTACTTATAATGCCGTCAAGGCCAGCACTTCAAAGTTTTATTTGTCTTTTATTCTGGTTAAGAAGGGGGGGGGGGTATTGAGACGTATCTACGACGTCAATTTATATTTAACTTAATTTGACGTGCGCTTATTTCCAGGATGGTATCCTCTTTTGTAAGCCCCTGCACATCTTATTATTTGTTCGGTAAAAAAAAAAGCTCTACATCTGTACTGAATGTAGATTTGTATTGCTGAAAAAGAATGATTGTGGGAATCCGGTAGTAAATATTTTGCCAATAGTCATAATTATGGTATACTGAGTTTTTTAAAACTTTAGTTAGCTTCAGGAAAATTCTCCAAGCAGCACTCTGTCTTTCTTTTTTACCATATTTCTTTCTCTCTCTTTTTTTCTCTCACTCTCTCTATCTCTCTCTCTGTCTCTTTCTCAATCTCTCTCTAACTTTTTCTGTCAATATCTGTCTAAATATCTCTTTCCCTGTCTCTTCATCTCTCATTCTCTTTCTGTCAATCTCTTTCTTTCTTTTCATGTTTGTTCCACAATGAAATATTTCGTTAAAGTGGCCATTATTTACTCTGGTTAAAGCATAGAAAACAAAACAAAACAAAAAAACTTAAATTAAATCTTCCATTAATCATTGCCTTTTTACCGGAGTCAGAACATTTAATAAAAGTCAAGGGAGCGCCAATAGTGCCACATTTGAAACTATCCTTTGAAGAAATGGCGCTGCTGCTCAGTGAGGTTTCTTGACCACAAAGAGAGAATGCTGTCAGAGCATCAATTAGGAGCGCTTTACTTCCAGGCCCTTCTAATGTTTTCTCCATTGTACTGACTCATTCTGAATTTAGGTCATACCATAGTTGGAGATTTCCGTCACTTAACTTCCAACAAAACACCAAGCCTGTGAAGTCCGAACTCCAAACCTCTTGGGAATTTCCTCAAATTCCTTTTACGTGACTGCCAGATTCCGTGAGTGGTCTGACGATGTGGGGTTTGCTGTCCTGACTGCCAGTCCCTTTGAGGAACGGCCAGGAGATGTTTGGACTTCTCCTCTGTACGCAGCCTTAATCTTCCTCTTTTCTTATTTAATGTGTTTGTCTAGCCCATGAACGCTCTGACTATGCCCTTGACATGATTTCGGCAAACGGGGCAATCTTTCAACGCTGATGCGCAGTCAGTGCAGGACACAAAGTGACCGCAGGGCAGAAAGACGACAGCCACTTCTTTGTCCATACAAATTTTACACACTGTCTGTTGGCGCAGCTGGTTATTCTTTTCCTTCAATGATCTCACTTTTTCTATTAAATAAACAGAAAGAAAAAAACAACAAAATTAGCAGTTTGAAAACCAAAACCTAAAACTAAATTATCGTGCTCATTTGAAATAATTGTTTCGAAACTAAATAATCCAAGAAATGATTCTATAACTCACAAAAAGGATGATATAGATTAAGATCAGGAAGTTCAATGTTAAATTAGTCAGATTAGCAATCAACATTCGCTCTTCATTTTATTATTTTCATAACCTTTAGTCACGATTACTCATTCGGGAATTTCCAGAAATTTAATAGGTTACTTGCGATGTTAGTTTCTGCATAATTTTCCCATTTTTGTTTCGATATTATTAATGCGAAATAATTAATTTAAAAAAAAAAAAAAAGCTAATATCTCTCAATCATATCATTCGTTGATTTGTTTCTCTTTAGCTCTCTCTAAACTTACAAAAATTATATTAAACTTAAGTATTAAGATGAAAATCGACCTAAAAGAACGCATTTTTTTAATGATTGAAGCAATGTCGCTTTTAAATAGCACCAACAATTTACTATCTTCTGTCGCTAAGACTGTTAGATCACTACATATCATCTGGCGATTGTTTCCTTCATTCCAGTCTTTTGCCAGGGTTAGAGTCTCTCCTTAGGCAGGAATTTCAATTCTTTTATCCAATACGGGGGTGCGAGAGCATCCTCATTGCACTGTGCGGAGTTGTAAAAAAGCTCCCACAACCTTGTCGCAATCCAGGCGCTGTTCCTCAAGGGGCCGTTACATAAATAGCGTGTCCCGCACAGTTAGCCTGGTATAGAAAAGGAAAGTGGCGGGGGTCTTAGTGTTTGCGGTCTCTTGCCGCGAGTCTGACCCACCCGTCAGACAGAACAGTGTACACTGTTCTCATTCAGGCCGGTGAAAGGGAGCTCTTGTTCACTTTTGCTGGCCTAGAGTTCCAAGAGCCGAGGGCTCAACTTTACCTGACAGTTGAAGAAGAAGAAGCCATTACGGTGCGTTCGTCATTTCCTTTCTTTACCCATAAACTTCTCCTATCCTTAGAGTTTTAAGAGTCCTGAAGATCCTTTTACATGGCCGCACATTGTAATCATTCTTCTTCGTTCTCATTGTTATGTTGGAGTGTTCAGATGACTAGACCAATACATGAGATGAACTGAACAATGGTTTCCAAATCAGGGAGCTCTCCATATAGTTTTCTTTCTATTGGGGTGTTTCGGGGCCAGTGTCTTATACGGGCCTCTTGGTAAAGAGAGCCGTTTTGGAGGACGTAGTGGGCATTCTCTGGTGATACTACACATGGGCAGATTTCACTGGTTCCAATTTTTAGCTTCCGGTACATGTGAACATTCGTTTATCGACAGTGGTCAGAAGGTCATCAATCATGGGATCTAATCGCCCTTAAGTGATTCTCTTCAAAAGACAGAGAGGAATGGAGAAACACGGTCAACAGATCTTATGTAGTGCCCCAACGGTCCAACAGACTAAGGGATAGGTGAAGGCGAATATCATTATCTGGATCTTGACGTTTGTGAAGCGTTCTGTGTATAGAATACCAAGAATCCTGTAATCTTATCTGAATGTAATCAGTGAGAAGGCCCCCAGTGTAGTTACTATCCTTGACGCCAGAAATATATGAGTTATTTCAACGTAGTTCTGTAGTAAATAATCTTGTATCTAAAAATTAAAAAAAAACAACAAACTACACTATCGTTCTAATTCCTGGTTGTTACAGCGATTTCTTTTTTACATCCTGATTGATACTATTTGTTACATACTATCAACCAACGCAAAAAGCTTACCTTCCCGAAAGCTAGATACATTTTGCTTGGAACTTTGTCAATATTTTTTTAGCCAGAAATAAATTAGTCTAATCTGGTAAAACAAATTAGCCGGCTACTGAGACTACATTGATCGTTTCGTAATGTCGGCTGATTAAACCGTTTCGACTTTGTTTGTGTGTTTTGTGTGTTTAGGAAGTTCCATCAGAGTTAAAGATAATTCACTTCCTAATCCAAACCTCCCGCAGGACGACCATGGAATGGCACGGTTTGAACCCAGGACCATCGATAAGTCGAAACAGTTCAGCGCGCAAACGGCACGACCAGTCAGCCATTTCTATTTGTTAATCAAGATGAATAAGTGTTATATGGTTTGAAACTATACACGTAAATATTTTGGCAATAAAAGTGCATTACAGTAATCTGCTCTTTGTTAAATTTTTTTATTTCTAGGAATTAGTTTGCATTCTAGTAAAAACTATAATACAGTCAAAGAGAAAAAGAAGAGAAATCGAAAGGGAGTCATGTGGAGGCGATATAATGGAACCGGATGGAAATGTAAGAAAATGAGGAAAATTGAGAGCGTTTCGTCGATATAAAAAAAATGTCATAATGTCGCTTTAAAAATAAAAAATAATTTATTACATAAATTGCTGTGTTGCCGGTATCAACTAAAAAAAAATAAGAGCTTAGAAATTAGATTCTGCTGGGTTAAGAAAGAAAACACATTTAAAGAAAAATTTCATGCTTTAAAATTAAAGCTTTTCATTTCGGTTATAATC